GGACTTGCCCGGGACCTCGCCGGTCCGGGGGCCCCCACCTAGGGGCGGCCCCGCGCGCGCGAACTGGAACTATTCTGAACCAGCTACTGGAGATGTTGGCACGCTCGTGGCCCGTTGGGCCGGCGAACTTCTAAGGAAGAGGAATGGCAGAAGAAGGCGGCGGCGGCGGCGACCTCTGCGCGCGCGAGGCGGCGGCCGGGCCGCCGTCGTCGACGCCCGGCGGCACCTCCGCGGCGGCGACGACGCCCATCGGCGGCGGCGGCGGCGGCGCCCTCCGCGGGCGTGCCGCGGCGGCGGCCGCCCCACGGTGCGGCGGGAGGCCCCCGCGCCGCGGTCGCTGTGGCTGCAGGACGAGGAGGAGTTCGACATCGAGGTCTCGAAGGAGCGGGGAGGGGGTCCTCGAATCCTCCCCCTCCTCTTCCTCTCCCCTCCTCTTTCTCCTCCTCCTCCTCCTCCTCTTTCCTCTCTATTCTCTCCTCTCTCCTCCTCCTTCTCCTCCTCCTCCTCCTTCTCCTCCTCCTCCTTCTCCTCCTCCTCCTCCTCCTCCTCCTGACAAGTCGATTCGTGAATTGTCCGTGTTCGGTTCTCGAGAGGGCGTCGCGGCCGTCGTTCTCCAGGCTTGCGCACGCCAGGCTTGGGCCCGAGGTCGTTTTCGCTAAACCACGGCTTGCTGAAGGGAGTTCTGTCCATCCCCGAGGGGGGGGGACCCTGTAGAGCCCCAGTGCGCGTCTTCCCCGGAGATGGGCATCACTCCGCCGTGATCCCGGGATGACGAGGGACTTCGTGAGGATCGCTCGCCCAAGCTCCTCAGATTTCGCGGCGCCTCCTCCTCCTCCTCCTCCTCCTCCTCCTCCTCCTCATCCTCATCCTCATCCTCATCCTCATCCTCCTCCTCCTCCGCCTCCTCCTCCTCCTCGTCCTCCTCCTCCTCCTCCTTGTCGTCCTCCTCCTCCTCCTCCTCCTCCTCCACCTCCTCTTCCTCGACAAGATAGGCTCATCCCAGCCACAGCGGCCCTCGTGACAGTCACGCGCGTCGCAAGGACCGCAGGGAGGACAGGAAAGCGGATGCCCTTCGCACGCTGGTGGACCATGTGGGATGCTGCAGGATCGGAGCTTGCTGGTTCGACGGGAAGGCAGGCAGCACACCAGCGGGCAGCTGCGCAGTCCAGCGCATGCCGAGCCCGTGCACGCAGAGCCAGGTCGTGACGGTGGACGGCCAGCCTCCACGATCGCGGCGCAGGGCGGCGAGATCGAGGCAGGTGGCTGCGCCCGAGGGGCGCCCTCGAGAGGGACGTGGAGGGGCTCCTTCAGAAGTCCGACATCTCTAATTCAATGTAGCTCATCTGTTTCGAGGCCTTCTAATCGACTAGACGTAAGAGTGACCTTTCGCCGGAGTGACCTTTGGTGCGGGCACAGATGGGTCCCCAGATGGCTGAAAACGAAGCAGTAGCAGCTGGTTGCGCGCCTAGGTTTGGTCCCCCCGCGGCCCCCAAAAAATCGCGAACCAAAGGTCACTCTTACCCAGGGTCACTCTTGCGTGTAGCCGATCTAAGTTCAGCCCCTGGAGTTCACAGTGGACCCCATACAGGCCCTCAGGAGAGTTCCAGACGTCAGGGTGCTGGCTACTGACCTGGTTCTCTCCTCCTCGACTGCTGATGCGCTTGCCTCGAGTGCGCTGCTTGAACCCCCACCTGCACCGGTGCAGCCAACGAATCCTAACTGGGAGGAACTTATAGCGTAAAATTGTGACCCCCTCTGCTGCTTGCTCTTGTCCTCCTCCCCCATCCTCCCTTTTTCCCGCTGCGGCTGCGACGCCGGCTTCGCGTGGTTTTGCGTGGCGTGCGCTGTGTGATCGTGAGGTATCCTGTACCTCATCGCCCGTCGTTCCCACCTCCTCGTTCCCTTGTTGAGTCACTCCTGGGCTGCAGCTGGATTAAATTGGGTGGACTTCCCAGCTCTACTCCCAGAGCGCACCTGCCGCTGGAGGATGGTGCCCATGTAGGCCGTCACGGGTTGTTCTCCCCTTTGGACGGTCTTGCTTTAGGCCAGAGGTATCCCCCAACGATGTCGCAGGTTTGTAAACATCCCCTGATGTTGATGGCGAGGATCCGATGCATGTTTTCATCTCTTCAAGCTGCCGCGAAGCCGCCAGCCGCGAACCAACGCACAGGATCCCAATCGTCCCAGTCCGTTCCATTCCTTTTTTCCTCCTCCGTCTCCTCCTCCTTCTTGTTTTCTTATCCCCAAGCTCTCCTTCCTCCCTGTCCCATCTGCTCCTCCAAACCCTCCTGTTTCTTATTCCCATTCCGGGCCGAGGATGGAACCGCGCTCGGCGTGGACGTGCAGACGATTGGCGCGCTGCTGATCTGCGGGATCAGAAGCGATGGCTCCCCAGCGCGGGTGTCGTCATCGTCGTCGTTGTCGCCGCCGTCGTCGTAGTCGTCTTTAGTCTCGCCGTTGTTCGTGGTGTGCGTCGTCGTCGTCGTCGCATTCGCCGTCGTCGTCTTCACCGTCTTCGTGGTCATGGTCGTGGCCAGAGGTTGCAAAAGGGAGATGGGAGGAGGAGGAGGAGGAGCAGGAGGAGGAGGAGGCGGAGGCGGAGGCGGAGGCGGAAGGGCGAAGGAAAGAGGAGGGAACGAGGAAGAGAGAGGAACGAGGTGTCTCCCTCGCAAGCGGGAAAGATTTTGAACATTATATTGCTGCTAGTGTCGTTCCTCCTCGTGCTGTTCCGTCTTTCTCCTGCTCCCTTCTCCTACTCCTGACCCCTCCTCTTCCTCCTCCTCCTCCTCAGCCTCCTCCGCATCATCATCATCATCATCATCATCATCATCATCATCATCATCATCATCATCATCATCATCATCAGCATCATCACCAGCATCATCATCAGCATCAGCATCAGCATCAGCATCATCATCATCATCAGCATCAGCATCAGCATCAGCATCAGCATCAGCATCATCAGCAGCATCATTAACAGCATCATCATCATCATCATCATCATCATCATCATCATCATCATCATCATCATCATTGGCTCGAGCTTTCAGGGGCAAAGCGAGCGCAGCCCATCCGACCTGCCCTCAGAGTCCGTTCACCGTACTCGTGGCGGTACCGACAGTATGGTCAATGCAGAAGGTCGGTTGCCAACCGTGAAGCTCAAATCACATCCTATCCGTGCGAGAAGAGATGGGGAAAGCAGCACAGCTCAAGATCAGCGGGCCCGCCGCTCGCAAGACCAAGGTAGACCAAGGTCATCGATCTGATCCAGAAGGCCGGGGGCGACCGCGCCACCGCGGCCTACAACGAGTTCTGCCACAAGAACCAAGTGGGGTTTGGCCAGTTGCTGGCCACGACCCCAGACGAGAAGGCGACACGAGCTATCCAGAAGCTCTTGACCAAGCACAAGATCTCGTGGACCCACGAGCACCAGCGGCGAAAAACCAGCGCCAATGCCGTGACTGATGGTGAAACGACAATCAAATACAAAGGGAAAGGCAAGGGCAAACCCGCAGTGGAGACGCCATTCGTCTTGGATGAGAAGGACTGGTCGGTGCCCGTCGCCCAGGCCCCAAAGAAACTCCCGAACGGCGAGTATGAGTCCTCGGTCTCACTCCACTCCATGGGCGATGCAGAGAAGTGGTGCTCCGCCATGCGTCGCCAGACGGAGCCCATCGCGATCGTGGCCATCGGCAGCGGAAGCCCGCAGTGGCCCCACGTGAAGATCCAGATCCCAGTGCTGAAGGTCCCGCACGGCGCACAGGTGCCGCGCAAGACCTTCATGGACGGCGTCGTGTACCAGCTCTGCGAGACCGCAGTCAACTTGAAGACCAACATCGCCAAGCTGGCGCCAGCGACAGGCAACACGACGCTCACGCGCATTACCGTCCACGAGGCCGACATTATGTTGGTCAGCCCGAGTATGAAGGAAGTTTTCAGCGGCCAGTTCAGCGGAATAGCACATATCGTGGTTGGGTGCCAGAAATCCGAGAACAAGCTAGGCGGTACGGCGAACGAACGATGGAGACAAGCTCGACGCACTGATGCAAAGGTCAACCTAGACAATGGCATCCGCGATGTCATTAAGTCGACCGTGAATGCCATCTGCCCCGAGATCGACTTGTAGGACGAGCCCAGCCGACTATTCCGTGCTGGCAATCAAGAAGGACAACGTACCTTGAGCGCGGTGCCAGCGCTAACCCACGACGACGCTGACAACTTGATGAAGTGTTCGGGCTACCAGGGCGTCACTTTCGCCTAGTCTTACATTGGCGCTCAGACCGACGATCAGGAAAAGGACAAAGAGCGCATCCAAACCGTCTGGTTCAACCAGACAATCTCCATGCAGGAGGCCTACTCGCTGGCCATAGGCTGCAAGGCTGCACCCGGGGTCACCAAGGGCGACCGCGGGCAGTTCGGCCCGCGCATCCTGCGAGAGCACCAGGAGGCCCCAGCGGCAGCCGCAGCAGTTCGAGGCTCTGCCACCGCGCTGGCGCGGCGCAAGTGGCGGATCGACCACATGCCCAACGGCCGGGCGACCTAGGTTCAGGTCCTCGAGGCGGCCCAGCCCATCGGCTGGTCCCCCGACGTCGTCTACGCCGGCTACGACAGCAACGAGAGGGCAAACAACGCCATCGCGCGTTCTGGCTCGGAGCCCACGAACATGTACTGGAAGCTCCTCCAAACCCTACGTCGTAACAAAAATCGCCCCAGGCGCCACAGCGGCAGCCACGGGCATGAATGCGACGGTGGCGCCTGCAGTGGTGTTGGCAAGCACCCTGGCCAAGCTGTCGACTGCCTCGCCTCTGCCACCGCCGACTGGCGGGGCCTCGCCGTCAGGCGAGGCTGGCGCGCCGCCGTGGCTCTCGGCGCTCCGAGGGCAGCCACTAGGGGCCGCCAAGTTTGGCGACGCGCACAACAATGCCGTGGAGGTGGACAAGGAGAAGGACGCGAACGAGGCTACACCGCCACCAGTTCCAGTCCGACTTCCCGATGCAGAACATCAGCGCACGCAAGCTCTCGAGGCCAGCGTCAAGGCGCAGCAGGCCACCGTTGCCAGCATGCAGGACATGCTCACCAAGCAGGCGACGGCGACCACGGCTCTCAACGGCAAGGTGGACGAGAGCATCTCTCAGACTCAGAAGGCGGCGACGGAGCTCCGCCAGCAGAACAGGACTATCAACGGCACGACCACGACAAACCAGAACGTGCTGCAGGCGATCTCGGGCGACAATGCTGAAATAGATGAGCGCGCAGAGCCAGGGCAAGCGCCCCGAGGAGCCCAAGGGCAAGTCGCCGCGCACCGCGGCCGCCTGAGGGTGCCCAAGGAAGGCCAGCCCTGCCTTCCCTTGGGAAGTTCGGTCTACAGCTCGCGGGCGTCGTGCAGCTGAACGTGCTTAGCCAGATTAACTCCATGGGTGCGATAATCATGGGCAGTCTTCGTGGTGCAGCGACTAGGGTGGCTGCCACTCCCACACCATGGACATCGCGAACATCTACACCTACGTGTCGCTCCCTAGTCAGCACGACTACCTCAGCGACGCGCAGGCCACCTCCCCCTACCTCGATTACTACGGCAGCCATGTTTTGCTAGGGTCAAGAACGCCTCTGCAGTCGTGCTCCTCGAGCAACTGCAAGTCTCCGTCGCCGCAGGTTTTGCTAGGACAGCGCGAGCAGTATTCGAACAGCGTCGACACGGGATTGTCAGAATGCAGCCATGTTTTGCCGAGATTAGGAACGCCTGCGCGGCCGTGCTCCTCGAGCGGCCGCAGGGCTCAGTCGTCGCAGATTTTGCTAGGACAGCTCGAGCAGCATCCGAACATCAACGCCGACATGGGCATGCCAGAATTCAGCCTTGCGTTGCCGGGGTCAGGGGCGCCCGCGCAGCCGTGCTCCTCGAGCGGCTGCAGGGCCCAGTCGCCGCGCAGGGTTGCTGGGCGCCTGCGTCCCGCCCAGCGCCCTCTCGCCCGCTGGGTGAACAGGAGACATCGGCTGCGGAGTGTTGGGCGCGCATAGCAGCACCTATCGTTCATCCTGGGAACGATTGTATTGTGTGCTGGGTGGCCCGGGGCCATGGCGCATCGCGAGCGCTCCTACTCCGACTCCTCAGGATGGCGGACCTGACTCGCATAGGCCGGCATCGCTCAATGTCGCGTCTCTACAAGCGCGTCGGGAGCTACTTATTGCACTCGGTGAGTGAGGAGTGGCCGCAGCGGCGCTACCAGACGCACGACGCACTCAACCACATATATCCGACATGAACAACCAGCTGGGACGTCATGGATGGAAAGCAACTGGGGGCCGCCTCTGAAGCCCGTCCCCCGCCAGGTAGCGGCGAAGCAAGGCAAGCGCGCCTATGTCACCAAGGGCGTTGTAGCGGGTCATGAGGGGTATGCCATCATCGCGCCAACCGTCGTGCCTGTTGTGCCTGCACCTGTGCAGCATCCAGTGCGCGAGCGCCTTTCTAGCCACCGAGCGTTGGAAGGAAGTCTTTGCCCCTATCCCCACCAGTGAAGCATGCGCATCACGGGCTACTACTTTGCCATTGTTTGCGGCGTTGCAGCGGAGTCAAACGGGACGCTCTTCGCGGACGCGTGGCAAGCGGTAGCGCTACGAGGCTCTGCAGCACCCTTGTTTCGTGACATGGGCGTGATATGTTGGAGTCGGCCTGCCTGAGCTGGCTCATTCAGGATGGGGGCTGGGTCAACGTCGCGCATGGCTTTGACGACCACGGCGCCATGACCTACGGGCGCGACCTCACGTGGAACCGCTACGATGCGCAGGACCTCACGTCCCGCATAGATCCTTTCCTCGCGAATGAGGGTGCCAATGCAATGGTGGAGAATTTCCCATTCATTCGCGATCCCAGCGGCCCTGGACATCTCGGCCTGGAGGTCACCTTGATTGTCGAAGTTTTTTCAGCCCGAGTACGCCGCTGGGAAAAGCCCAAGCAGCGCGACGTCAACGCCATCACCATGCCCTACGAGGGGAGGGAGGCTCTCGGCGAGGCGCTCGTCAAGCAGGCCGAGGTTGAGATCGCCAACGTGAACGGCAATCCGGATCAGCTCCTCGAGGTCGCGACCAAGTTCGGCGAGTATTTCTTGGAGATATGTAGCGACGGACGCGCCAAACCTGGAACCCGAGGTCGGGGCAGGGCACCTTTATTATGGGTTGGGGAGCCCCACCTATCTCGCCTGCCAAAGGTGCGATGCCCAGGATCGGGTGGCAGTGCACCGAGCTCTACCGCAGGCTCATCGAGCGCAGCACGCGCGCTGCACGCTACGAGCAGAGAGGGGTAGGCAGCTACGTGGACATCCAGCTCTACCATCAGTTGCGGGCCAACATCTGCAAGCAGGTTCGGCAACTTCAACCAGTGTGTGCTCAGTG